CTCCAAGTATGTAAGTAATTCACTACTACTTTCATCTTTTTTTTTTTTTGCTTCATATACGATGTTTGATTTCATTCAGACTTTTAGCTCTCATAAGATATAGGATGTTGTTATTACATCAACACACCACCTATAGAAAAATTAGAGGCATCAATTTGTATCTCATATGGCTTATTGGGATATACTAAGCTCAATAACGACTCCTCAATGAAAGCTCTCTTCGGTTCTTTAAAAGCTTTTTAGTATCGATTAGTCTACTCTCATTTCTTATTCTTCTTCAACAAGTCGATGAGGGAGGTCATTTTTTCTAAATAGTCACAAATGAAGCAACAATAGTAGTTTAATAACTCGAGGAAATAATAAAGTTCGAGCATCTTGGTTGGTTCTTCTCGTTCTAAGATAGATTTAACATTTGCCACATACACCATCAACCTTTTATCCTTAATCTTATGTCCTAAGAGAGTACTTCTTTTACGAATGAGTACTTCTCCCTTTTGACATATAATTTATTTTTCTTTTAAAACCTTGAACATAATGCGTGGGTGGTCTAAATGCTCTTTTAACACCGAGTTATAGATTACAATGTCATTCGGATAAAATACTATGAACTAATCTAGGTAGGATTGAAATACTTTGCTCATCAAGATATAGAAGGCAATTGGGACTTTAGTCAAACCAAATGACCTAACAAGAAATTCATTAGAATTATACCTTGTCATGCATACTATATTTGGCACCTCTTTAGTAGTACTTAGAACTTGATAATACCTCAATTCAAGGCAAGCTTGGTTCTAATTATTCAAAAAAGTCTATGATTAAAGAATTAGTTACTTGTTCTTGACTATGATATTATTCGATGCTCAATAGTTTACATACATCCTTAGTTATCCATGTATTTATTTTAGAACGAGTACGAGCAAACTATAGAGAAATTTAGATGGTTGGATTTTTCCTACCTTTAATATAGTCTTCAATTACTTTTTTAGTTCCTTCAATACATAAGAGGCTATCCGATAAGGTGATATGGTCGGTAACTTAGCAAGCATGCACCAACTCGATCTAATGATCAATATTTTTCTTAGGTGATTGGATTTGTTCGACCTTTAATATAGTTTTCAATTACTTTCTTATTTCCTTCAATAAATAAAAGGTCATCCGATAAAGTGATATAGCCGACGGTTTGGCACCGGACACCAACACGATCGAATGATCAATCTCCTTCTTAGGCGATAGCTTATTAAGCAATATAGTAGCATCACGTCATCGAACTCATCCAAAACCTTGGCGAGTTTCCTTAAACATCTCGACAACATTACCTTCTATCGACCCTTTTTCCGTTAGTGTTGCCAAATAGGTGAATTTCTTTTTTTGAAGCCATTATTTACTTGCATGATAAAAAGAAGCTCCATATCTATTTTGTCACATACATTGGTTGGTAACATACATGTTGTCTTTTCTCCAAGATTACAATCTACTCTAAGTGCCTATAAGAACTCGTTTTAGCTAACTTGAAAAGCTTCATACCTAATGTAATCTTGAAGTTATGAATTGCGATAATTATAAAATTTGACATTCATTTCTATATGTTATTGCCAAGGCTTACTCAACCCTAGTAGGTTTAGAGGAAACATATAAGCATTTTTTTTCCAACTTAGAGGTTGGTTTGGACCCATTTTAATCGACTTTATAAGTTAAAAAATATATATGTTTCTATAGTAGACCTACTCTAACATGGTTATGCTCCATCGAACTCGTGTATGTATAAGTCAAGTAGACACATGTTTCTTTGTATTATAAGAAATTTAGAAAAATATGTGCTAAGCAAGATATGATGAAGTACCAATGAATGCGGATATGGTAATTAGCAATATATATTCTCAATTATCATTCATGTGTTTAGTGTATAAACCTAAAAGGGAATCAAGTTCCCAAGGTGTAGGTAAGATTATTCAACTTTGATTTCTTTTGTTTTTAGTTTACTAGTTAAGGATTCATGGCTAAAATGGAATCCTTTGCTAGTTTGAATGTTTAAACTTAATATAGATTGGTCAAAAAAGGATGGAATTGGTGTTGGGCATGGCATTAGTCGGACAAGTAATGGTAGTATCATCATTAGCTTTTCGAGTTATTATATAAAGGGTACAAATATATATAATGAGATACAAGCACTTTGAGGTGGTGTTCTACTTTGTCAAACTTTTTCTATTTTGACATTTTTGATGGATCACACTCATTAGTATCGATAGATGTTATTCAAAATAAAGAAACTAGAGCGGGAAGATATAAAAAAGAACTTCAGTTGTGTCGGACTTTGATACAATGCATTTTATCTCATATGTCCTTCGACAATAGAATTTGGCAACCGATAGGCTAGCTAATTGTGCATACATTTATGTAGGTCATAGGAAATTCACTAGTTATTAAGAGCTTCTTTTAGATATCAAAAATGCTTGTAGATATGATAGACTTAGTTTTTATACATATTGTTCGTAACAATTTGTATTATTCTATAAGGGTAAGGTCTACTCGTCCTCCTTATTTTAGGATAAGGTCGGCTTATCTTTTTTTTTATGTATTTTCAAGTTCTAATTAATAATATTTATCGTGGTACCGCTCTCGTTTGTTAAAAAAAGGCAGTTTAGAGGAAGCATCCAACATTTTTATGATGCTAGATAATTTAGTCACTACCAAACCAAATCTTTGATATCAACCTCATCCATAAAGTTATGTGTGACACTTATGTCTAGCATAGCAAGGACGTCCTTATCGTTTACATTTATATCCACACACATCATCCTATCCTTTAACAATGCCTTGAGTAGGGGCTTGACATTCGGGGCATTAAGTAACTATAATGACCCATATATGTTTCTCATTCTTAAAAGCAAACTATTTCTTTTTTATCATGGTGTTGAGGGCTTTATCGCTTAAGTCACTTTCATACCGATGCGATCTGTCACAAAAATAGCAACCTTAAGCTTGAATTCTTTCTTGTCTTTATCTTTGGAAAGGTATTTAGACTTGTATCCTTTATCATACCCATCCTTATATCTCTTTTTTTTTCTAGACTCCACTACATTTACTCTTGAAGTCTTTCTTGGGTTTAGAGAGTTTGTTTTTATTCTTGTATTTTATTAGGGATTCGATTATGGTCATAATTTTGACTAAATTCTTAGGTTGTCGACCTTGCACCTTTTGTTGTGGCCATGTTTGAAGTCTCTTAATAAATTCATACATATGATCATGAGGCTTTTCATATACTTGAAGTTTAAATGAGACATATTCTATGATGTGCTTGTGAATGGTTCGTGTGTGCTTTAAGGTTAGTAGTTTGTCTCATGCTTCCTAATCTACTTTCTTAGGGTAGAACTAGACATAACTAACTTCTTTTAACTTAGCCTAATTTGGTGGCTCATAATTTTTATCTTTTATCTTTTGGTGCTTCATGTTCCACCAAAAGCGACATCTTCCATGAGGTAGAAGATGATGGTCTTGACACAACTCATATCCTCGATCAAGCCTATCGTCTCAAAATATTGCTCTACTTGCTAGAAAAAAAGTATCAACTTTTTTGGCCTCGTGTTTACTAGTATAGTGTCATGGATTTGACACTTCAAGTTTTGACGTGTTCCTCAATACTACACCGTTGGCTACAACTTCATGATAAATCATTCGATCTTTTTTAAGTTATTCAAGGGTTTGCTCATACTCGATCATTACCTCCTAATGTTGTGCAAGCACTCTCTTAGTTCAATTAGCGAGAGCATCTTTTTTTATAACGTTTTTTTAGCATACCTCTCAACCGACTTTACTCGAGTTTAGAGACCGAAAAGCGCCTCACATAGGTCATGCCTAGTGCCTCTTTCTCATCGGCCTCTTCAATAATCTCGAGTCTCTCATTGAAGTCGGCAAAGTGTTCCTCCACCTTTAAGATACATTTCTTAAAGATAGCCATTATGTCATAAGACTTTCCCCTACTCTTCTTGGGTTGAGGAAAGAGACTCCTTTTCGGGGTCAACAACATGGTCATCAACAACAAAGCTAGACATACTTATTCCTTGAATGCTTAGTTTGCAACCATGTTTTATACTACTTGTCCCGACCTTAATCTTTTCAAAGATCATCGTGTAAAATTTGGCTCACTTCTTTCTTAAGTCGAACCAAGTTAGCTTTTTTCATGTACTAAGTTGTGAAATAAGGAAGTTATATAAGAGAAATATTATGAAAACTCTTTGCTATCAAAATGCATATAACTCTTGTATGGTTTAACAAAATAAAAACATTATTTATTTATAAGCTTCCGCTTTGTAAATGTTATAAATAAATAATTATGATCCAACGATTATAATCGATTCTCTAAAACTCTCTTACCTAAATATTTACAAAGAATATTCTATATATATGTATAATAGTCTAGAGACTTTTTTAATATTCTAGAGACTTCTGGCGTTCTGTGTTTCTAGAGTTTTTTGAAAAATGATTTTATCCTTCAGAATTTTGTTCCTTTCTCGCAAGACGTAACAAGTGGCTAAAATGACAATATAAAATATTAGGTTACAGCAACAGCTCGGGGACAAAAATCTTGGAGAGGAAAGCAGGGCCATATTCAGAGTCCGTCGGGAGGCAATTACAGGTGTTTGGTTTTCTTTTGAAAGACTGAACTACCCTTTATATGTTGGGTAATTGTTGGGGGTTTAGGACCATGAAAAGCCTAAGAATCCTATAGGCCTTGTACTCCAAGTCCAATTGATTTGTTTAACGGACAATAATGCAAGAGAATCTTCCTCTGGAATTTCATATCAACAACGTTTTTTCTTGTAAGGTATGCATTTTTTTTTTTTTTTTTTTTTTGGTTAAGAAGGAGTTTTTGTTTACGTTTAGATGCTCAATAAAAAAATATAAAACTAGGGTTGAATACCATAATTAATTGATGTAGATGGCAAACAGAAACATCAACATAGAGTACTTGTGGGATTTTAACATTTACAATATTTGCAGTTTCATGTAGATATCATTTCGGTCTTCATGCATGAACTGTTATCATGATACCCGCGGCATATCTCATCAAAACTCATTGGATTAAAACGGGTGATGGGGTAGCACACAAGCGGGTTTGCCATCCCCATGCTAAATCCTGACCCCTCTTGCAAATTAATCTTCCCTTCACCTATGACTTTCCAATCAAAGAATTGGACCAAGGATCCAATAGCAGCTTGAACAACCAGTAAAGCAAGTGATGAGGCAGGACATCCTCGCCTCCCACTCCCAAATGGGAGATAATTGAACGTTTGACCTTTCATTTCCATTTGATTCTGTAAATGATTTATGTTAGAATCAACCATAAATCTCTCCGGGTTGAATTCTTCAGGATCTGTCCATAAATTCGGATCTCTTTGGATAGTGTAGAGGTTGATTAGCATCCTACTCTTACCCTTTAAATCAAAGCCATTGATCTTGCAATCTTCAGCAACTTCTCTCAGGATTATAGGTGATGGAGGGTGCAGTCTAAGTGTTTCCTTCACAACAGCTTGCAAGTAAGGAAGATTTAAGATATCTGATTCTTTGACTAACCTTTTCAGCCCGACCACTAAATCAATTTCTTCCCTCAATTTGATGAAAACTTTCGGATGGTTGATTAGCTCTGCCAAGATCCATTGCACGGTGAGTGCCGATGTATCAGTGCCAGCCATGATAATGTCCTAGCACGACAAAAAGATGAACAATATATTTATTAAGACTTATCATCATATAAGGAGAAGTTCAAGATTAAAATTTAAAAAAAGTAAACTTACTAGGAAGAAAGCCTTGATCTTCTTTCTAGTCAAGTTCATTTCAACATTCGAGTCTCTAGATATTTCTAATAGAATATCCATCAAATCCCTCCCTTCTGATCCTTCCATGCCTTTCGTCTCCTTCTGATCTTCATGCTCCTTGATGATCTTTTCGACTAACTGATCGAATTTCTCAAGTGCATTTCGAAGCTGTCTTCCATGTCCAAATAAGTCAAGTTTTGCCAAAGGACCTAAAATATTACCTGCACTTAACTTTCCTCCAAGCACCACAATTTGATCAACCAATTCCTTCACCTCCTTAGCTTCATTAGCATCCTCTAAGCATCTGGTGCTCATAGCCATTCGACAAATCACACTATTTGTCATGGTCATGAACTCTTGCTTTAAATTACAAGACCTTCCTTCCCTTGAAAAATTAATTAATGACTCCACAAGTTTCATAATCTCTTCCTCCCTTACATGCACAAGCTGATTAAGCTGTGAAGTAGCAAGAAGCCTGGTCATGCATAGTTTCTTCATGAACCGCCAGTACGTGTCGTATGGTGCAGTGACAAAACCAGACCCCCTATATATGTTGTTATCCGAGCAATCAAATTCTGGACGTGAAATGAAATTCAGCTCATTGGTTTTCAAGATTTCTCTGGCAATCACGGCATCCGAAACGACATAGCATCTTGATGCACCCAAATGGAGTTGAATAATCGGACCGTACTTATGAGCTAGGTTATGCAAGGACTTGGAGAAAACTGAGCCTAGTAAGTGGAGGTGGCCAATGATAGGTAGAGCTGGTGGACTTGGTGGGTTCTGCGCCTTGGTTCCAAAATGTTTGTAGTTTTTCATGGATTTAAGAAGGATAGTGATGAAAAGGAAGGAACAAAAGAAGAAAAGAAGATCACTTGTTGCCATCATTTAGGCTTCTCTTAGCAACTAGAGCAACTAGATTTCAGTACTTGTATTGTAGGCTCCAGCTGAGACGTCGGAATTTTCAAACTTCTGGATTGAAATGATATTTCAATCCTTTGATTAACGTTTTATTAGAGAGTCTCGATCGCTTTGTTGATTGAAAACCTTTGGGATTCTCTCTTCGATGAAATTGGGGAATTTCACCGAAAGAATAAAATTTGCTGTCATCATTGCCCAACTTTGTTCACAACACAATAAATAACTTCATCTTTCTTTTCTTTTTTGTTGTTTTTCCAGATTTCTTTTTGTTTTTCATGTATGTATGCTCCAGAAAAGACGCATGTTATTAATTCATCATTAGATAATTAGATAATACCAATATTGTTAATTAATCTTAGTGAAGGAATTTGCTGCTATGACAATAGAAGTGATTGCTGGCTCATAGTTTTTGTAAACTGTAATCATCATTAATTTATATCTTTTTTTAAAAAAAAAAAATTATTTACCTCTGTAGAGTTTGGGGTGAATCAATTTACCTCTTCCATTAGGAAACGTTATCCAAACTAACAGAACAAAATATTTTTTGGTCTCTAAACTTTTGAAATTTGATCAAATAGCTAGATCTTTGTTGAAAACATTTGATAAAGTCAGAATCTTCTACTGCCAATTAAAGGATCGACTGATATCACATGCATAATTTATGTTTAAAAATGTAACGTGCAAAAATTAAAGTTTTATCATTTTATGAGTATGGTTTAGATTAAAAGTTTTAAAAAAATAATAATAATTAAGAAAACTACTAAAGATTAGCACCTATTTTTCCCACCATTTTCTCCTCCTCCTACAAGCTGAATTTATAGGTAAAAGAATGGACTTTTCTTGGTTTGACTCACATCTTAGCCCTTCATTTGTTTCCATCTCCACCATTGATTTTTCTTTTAATCATAACCATCCATTTGTGCCTAAAGATTTGTTTTTTGTTAAATTGCATAATTACATCCATTAAATAAGGGACGCAATGGCCAGTTGAAGAAGAAAATTTTGGCTAAAAATATTTATTTTGATCCCTCATTTTGTCACACTATTTTATTTAGTCCTTACATTTTAGTCTTTTAAATTTTCAAATGAATATTTTTAGTCCTTCCCTTAGGCTTTTCAAATATTTTTATGTCTCCTAAAATTTACTTCTAAATTTATTTAAGGGCCAAAACTTTTAATTTTGTATAATTAAGTTCTTAATTCTTATGCAATTAAATCCCTATGTGTGCATAATTAATTCTACACATATTTAAAAAATAATTTCTTTTCATAATAATTTCATGCACTTTATATAGTAATTTATTCATCAATCACATAATTTTTATACATTTATTTAGGCACTCAAAATAATTATTTTACATAAAAAGATACTATTTACGCATAAAGAAGCCAATAAAATATTCACCAAATACAAAAAAATTAAACTAAGTGTACGAAATATTCTAGCACCCCTCTAACAATTATTTTATGTACACAAAATAATTTCTCTACATATTTAAAATATATTATTTCATTTATTCATAGGTTCAAGTATTATATTTTCTCTCTCCAAAATCCCCCTCGCCTCCAAAAGAACTCTTATTTATACCCAATTTTAGCTAACAAAACCAATTTTCATTTACTGCGAATCATTCTCTCCCCTTCTCTCTCTCTCTCTCTCTCTCTCTCTCTCTCTCCATTCGTTATCTTCTCTAACGTTCTAATCTTTTCCATTTGTTACGAGCACGACTTGCGAACCAAGCAAAGGAAGATTGGTGAGCTTGCTTGGGAATTAAAACAATTAGAAAGCCAAGATCAATCGAAATCATTTTCTGATTTTCAATTTGTTGGAAACAATGAATGTTCATTCACTATTTTAACTATAAATGTACAAAACGAGTCCTCTTATTTTTTGAAATTTTCAATCGCATCCTCCATTTTCTTTCAATTATGCCTTTAATTTGTCTTGATTTTTTATTCAATTTGGGCCCTATTAGCTTCCAATTTTGAATTGAATTAATGCATTTATGCCACTTGAACAATTTTTGCAATTTATGTATTTTTTATTTTTTGTTTCATATTTTTTATTTTTTTATTTTCCTCTTTTCCTTTTTTATAATAATAATGAGTACTAAAATAAAAATACATAAATTGATGAAATATAATAGCTAAAAATATATAAAGAGTGGAATGAAGAAATGAAAAATAAAATAAAGAACAAATTAAACTAACAACTAAAAAAATAAAAATAAGGTGGATAAAATTAAAGAAAAAAGTATAACCTAAAATTTGAGTTATGACAGAGTTAGTGCAAATTTTATAATTAAAATAATTTTAATAAGTATTTTGAGAAAAAAATATATAAAGTTGTTCATACATAATTTATTAATATACGGTAAGGTAGTTAAATTTATTGTAACTTTGAGACAGAATGCAACTTATATTTGATCTATTGCATCAAAAATATCTACATATAGCATGTATCGTCTTAAAAAAATAACTTGATTGTGTCTTAAGCAATCACCTAAAAAATTTTGGTAAACTTATTTTGGTGTTTTTCGATCATGATTTTTTTAGGTACTATCCTTCTTTTTCCGACAATTTGAGACGATACCTAATGGAAAACACTAATGTTATGTATGGGCAAAGTTCCACTAAAGTGGATGACCTTAACAAGTCATTTTGTTTTTACGGTGCAAATTTCAAAAGATGGAAGAAAAAAAAATTTTTATCTTATTCTCTTTAATGTTAGTTATGTCTTAACTAAAGAAAAAAATTCGAAGAAAAAGAAAAATATCATATAGTCACACAAATTAAGTAGGCATATTCAACAAATAATTTTAAAATATTGAAAGAAACTAAAATCTTATGTTCATGTGATGTGGTCATACTTCTCATAAAACATGTTTATTCACAATTATTTAAATTGGCGGGTGTATCAAGAATAAATTTGACAGAAAATTATAGAATTAATCCTCAAGTTTTTCTAGTATTTTGACTTATCTTGATGAAATGTTTAAAGTTATACTCGTATTTTAGTTTATCTTGACAAACTCTTTAAAATTACACTATTTAGTCAATGATTAAATACATGTTGGTTCTTCTATTAAACAAAACTTGTGACTTTTTATTTAGTGGTGCAATCTTAAAAAGCATGGTATGACTTTTATTTTCCACTACAAGAAAAATATGAATGAGGAAGAGATAACTTAACATGATATATAAATTACAAAATAGAAAAATGATAGTAATGATTGGCACAATTATTACTTAATTATCTCTTTAAAGAGTTTTGTGACTACTATGATTAATGATAGATTAATGATATTCTTATGTTAAGAAGATTTGGAAGACTCCACCTAAAATATGACACCAAAAAAGTTGAATTTTAAAAATATGCTTGTAGTCATTCTTTAAATTTCAAATGAATGAAAAAAAGAAACATGTAATAGATCAAATTTATAAACTTCAAATGATTGTATATAACATCTCGCTCTGAATGTAGATGAAAAAATATAAGTTTCAGTCATTATTGATTATGTAATATTCTTAACCTAAAACCTCTTTTAAGTATTTATCTATGTATGAATAATTTGATTTATGCGTGAATGTTTGTTTAAAGGTGTGTGGTTAATATTTATATTTACATAGAAAATTATATTTTATGCATGCATAAATATTGTGTGGTGTGAAAGACTTATTAAGTGTTTACTTAGTAAGCCTAAATTATTAATTGTTATAATTATGTGGGTAACCTAAGGACTTAATAGAAAATTCTCCGAAATTTAATTGAAATAAATTAAAAATTTAGGTACTTGATTGAAATAATTAGAAAAGTTTAGTAATCACTATAAAACTTAGGAAAGCCTAGATTAAAGCCTAACTGTGGAAATTAACATTTCAAGGACTTAATTGAATTGATTAATAAAATTTATGACCAAAATGTAACCTTTTGAAAACTTGAGGGACCAAATAATTCAAATAGATAAAGATGATTAGCCATACCAGAAGTCCAAGAAAAAATAGATTAAGAGATGGCCAAAATATTCAGCCATGTGAAGAAAAACAAGGAAGGAAAATAAAGGAAAAATAAGAAAAATCAAGAGAAAAGAAGAAATTTCTAGAGAAATTACCAAGAGAAGAAAATGAAAAGGATGAATCCAAGTGTCCTTCCACTTGGCAAAATCTCATGCAATTTTTCTTTCGTTCATTCTACCAATGAAGAAGGACGATGAACAAATGAGAAATTAAGGAAATACTAAGAACGAACAAGTAAATTCAAGCCAAATTCAAGAAGAACCAAAGCAAACCACCACCCAAAAATACCAAAGTACGACTAAAAACATTTCAAAATCAATCTAAAAACACTTAGAAAAGCCAAGCAAAGAAAGAGAAAAACTGGATTCTTGACCAAAACATTTGGAGAAGGAAAGGAGAAGGATACTTCAAGCTTTTAAGGTAGAAATTGATATAGCATCAATCAAGATAAATGTAGTTCCAACTAGATCACAATAATTGTGTGTTTTTGATGCTAGGTGGATGATATTTGAGGTTTTAGAAATTTAAAGTTTCAATATATAATCATGCTTCTATCATTTAAAAATTCAAAAAAAAAATCATTATATAAATTATATCAAAATAATCATATTCTAAAAATTTGTTAATATATATATATATATATATATATATATATATATATATATATATATATATATATAACAATATTCTAAAAATTTATCAAAAAAACCATACATGGATCTCTCTCTTCTTCCTCTTTATCAACTAGAAATTAGATTACAATATAAATAAAATTGTAGATTGAAATAAAAATTATTAAAAAAATCAAGGATGAAAGAACAATATTGGCAAAACTTTATCTATAAAATACCTAAAAAACCCTTAAAAAATAAAAAACCATT